GGGGGCACACGGCATGGGCGACTGGGCAGCAGGAGGCTGCCACAGGGCGATTTGGGAGATTAGGAGAGGAGGCCACCGGGTTTGGGGGGCCAGAAGGCAGGTTGGCGGAGCCTGGATGGAGAGCAGAGCCAACTCCCCGTACTCAGGCATGGCAGCATGAGACTGGGCAGGTTCCGGGGTATGCGGAGCTGCGTACTGTGCCACGAGTGGTCCGGCATAGTCCGGTACGTCCTGTGCCAGCACCCCGCACGTGTCGTGCGAAGGTGGGCATGCAGCCAGGATGGAGTGTGCCGGCTCAGCGCTCGTGGCCTCCAGTGCCTCTCCTCGGTCCCGGATATCCTGCGCCAGTGTCACGTGCTGTTATGCCAGTACGGGTACACAGCCCTGTACGTCCTGTGCGGATGCCTCACACAGAGTGTGTGAAGGTAGGCATTCAGCAAGGACGGGTTGTGGCAGCTCTTCAGTCCAGGCCTCCAATCCGTCTCCACAGCCCGGCCCGGCCTGTTCCTGCTCCTCGCACCAAGCCTACGGTGCGCGTCGCCAGCCCAGCCCGGCCTGTTCCTGCCTCTCGCACCAAGCCTACGGTGCGCGTCGCCCGGCCTGTTCCTGCCACTCGCACCAAGCCTACGGTGCGCGTCGCCAGCCCGGCCCGGCCTGTTCCTGCCACTCGCACCAAGCCTACGGTGCGCGTCGCCAGCCCGGCCCGGCCTGTTCCTGCCACTCGCACCAAGCCTACGGTGCGCGTCGCCAGCCCGGCCCGGCCTGTTCCTGCCACTCGCACCAAGCCTACGGTGCGCGTCGCCAGCCCGGCCCGGCCTGTTCCTGGCACTCGCACCAAGCCAGGGGTGCACGTCGCCAGCCCGGCCCGGCCTGTTCCTGCTCCACGCACCAAGCCAGGGGTGCGAGTCGTCAGCCCGGTAAGGCCCGTTCCTGCTCCACGCACCAAGCCAGGGGTGCGAGTCGTCAGCCCGGTCCGGCCCGTTCCTGCTCCACGCACCAAGCCAGGGGTGCGAGTCGTCAGCCCGGTCCGGCCCGTTCCTGCTCCACGCACCAAGCCAGGGGTGCGCATCGTCAGCCCGGTCCGGCCCGTTGCTGCTCCACGCACCAAGCCAGGGGTGCGCATCGTCAGCCCGGTCCGGCCCGTTCATGCTCCACGCACCAAGCCAGGGGTGTGCGTCGTCAGTCCGGCACAACCCGTGCCTGGGTCACCGGTGCCTGGTCAGGTACCGGTCAGCTGCTCCACACCGGAGCTTAAGCAATCCGCTCCTACGATGTCCAGTCCAGCTCCAGCTAGCGGGGCCAGACCGGACCAGGGGCGCTACGGGGGGATTATTGGAGGGTGGTGGGCAAGCCCGGAGCCGGAACCGCCTCCGAGGAGGAATGCCCACCCAGCCCTCCCCTGTTTGGTTCATGTGGAGGCGCGGTCGCAGTCCGCGCCTTTGGGGGGGGGTACTGTCACACCCTGGCTCTGGGGACTCTATATGTTGAGCCAGGGTGTGTAGTTTCTATGTGTTTTGTTCTATGTATGGTACATGTGGCCTGAGGGCCTCAAGGCAAGAGTCAGGTCTGTGAGAGCCTAAATCTGTTTTCTGTGTTGTGGGACTTGTTAATTGGTTTTCCCCATTGGTTGTAATAGATGCATTACCTTGTGTTTGGTTGTTCTATTTCCAAGTTAAGTTACGATGTTGCAAAAAGGCTCGCCTTGGTAATCAGTTCACAATCGTGACAAATGTCCCACGTGTAGCTCAGTTGGTAGAGCATGGCGCTTGCAACGCCAGGGTTGTGGGTTCATTTCCCACGGGGGGCCAGTATGAAAATGTATGCGCTCACTAACTGTAAGTCGCTCTGGATAAGAGCGTCTGCTAAATGACTAAAATGTAATTCTATGAAGAATACATCATGCCAACACAAAGCTTGCTAAATGCAAAAATAACCCCTACAAAGGTTTACTTTAGAACACATGGTACAAAGTCACTGAGAAAAAAATACAATGTGTAAATTGTTACAGCCAACTCTATATTGATGATACCTATCTTCTGTGCCATCAGATAACATCATGAGGGTAGTCACTGCAGATAGAACACGGTGAGCACTGTTGACCATGCCTGCAAAATGATCTGAAGTCTCTTTCCGATGGAACTCTAATATGAAGGCTGATACATGCAAATTAAACAACCCTCTCATGCCAGTGCTTTGTGGTATAGCACCGTGGCTATTGTGACATTTAGTGTGCCAAAGGCCTTGTTTTGATGTATAGCTCTAATATGGAAATGTTACATCATATTCTTAATTTAGTTTAGTTTGCCAGGACTTCGGTTGTCTAGCCGCCATTTGTTTGAATAAAGTTGTAATTGATAAAATGATTACCAAAAAAAACTTGATCAGATATACCACTACTAACCATATCCTATTGATGTTGTTACTTGCTACTGAATATGATTAAAGTACCCAACAAAGCATAACATATTGCTTAGTTATCATCCCACACAGGGTTAGGGAGTAACTGATTACATGTAATCTTATTACAACAAAACTGTAAGTGTAATCAGTTACGTTACCAGCAAAACAATTGTAATCAGATTAATTTCAAATTCAGGAAGGAGGTTTGTGAAGTTAAGTTTGCTCCACCTGAACGAGTGTGACCACAAGTCAGAGACCACTATGATGACACACCAAATGCGTTTGATGGATATTTTTTGTCTTCTTCTAATGCTTATTAAGTAACTGAAAGTAATCAGATTATACTGAGTTTAGGTAATCCAAAAGTTACATTACTGATTACAATTTTGGACAGGTAACCAGTAACTGTAACAGATTACATTTAGAAAGTAACTTACCCAACCCTGATCCCACAGCATACCATCTGTAAAGGCTACACCACTGTACCAGGCTGGCGGTTCCACCACAGCTGTTCTCTCCTTAGCTGAACTGTACAAACTTGTTCTGAGAGACAAACACAACACCTTATCAGTCATGATAATTCATCCAGCCAAGGAACTCTATCAATCCAATTGGAAAGTACAGCTATGTTGTAAACAACAGTGGGTGTATAGTTATCAGTCCTTGAGCAAACAATGCCATGGGTGAAGAACAAAGAAGGTATACTGTGCTTTTGTTATAAGTTATTGATGGTTTATATATAAAAAAAATAGTACTTTCTTGAACACTGATTGTTACCTTGAAGTAACTACCTTGAGTTCTCAACTCCCTTATGAATTGAACCGGTGAGTGATTTAAATCAAAACTGGAGAATGACCGCCATCTAATGGACATGAATAACACAACCGTGAGTAAAGGTAATACAACTTTTTATTTAACCAGGCAAGTCAGTTAAGAATTTAATTTAAAATTTAGCAGACGCTTTTATCCAAAGCGACTTACAGTCATGTGTGCATAAATTTTTTACGTATGGGTGGTCCCGTGGATCGAACCCACTACCCTGGCGTTACAAGCGCCATGCTCTACCAATTGAGCTAGAGAACAAATTATTATTTACAATGACGGCCTACACCTATGGAGGACTAAAAGTGCCACAATTAAATAAATAAATACACCATTAAATAATTACTTAAATGTGTCATTAATTAATTCAAATTAGAATTAAATACATAAATGTGTAATTAAATGTATCATTAATTAATTCAAATACCGATTCATTTTATGTAAAATACATATATAATTATTTCACTATTTACATTTACATTTCATGATCCTGCATTGCAGTGATTCATGAATTACTTAAAACTGTCAAACTGACCCATCAAAGTCAGTGGGCGGGGCTAACGCGAATCTAGTCTGATCCATTGCTTTGGTCTGAAGTAGAGTAGGCCAACCTGGATAGAGACAATGGAGGATCTCCGTGAACTTTCCAGGGAGTTGGTTAGAGACATTTTAAACTTAGCAGAGGATGTAGAAGCAGGACCTGCTGACATTATCCGGAATTGATTTGTCTTGGCTTGATGCAGAGGGTAACCAATCAGGCGTTAGGTTCCGCCTACCAACTTTTGATGGGTCAGTTTGACAGTTTTAAGTAATTCAGGAAGCACTCCAACGCAGGACCATGAAAATGTAAATGTAAATAGTGAAATTATTATATATGTATTTTACATAAAATGAATCGGTATTTGAATTAATTAATGATACATTTAATTACACATTTATGTATTTAATTCTAATTTGAATTAATTAATGACACATTTAAGTAATTATTTAATGGTGTATTTATTTATTTAATTGTGGCACTTTTAGTCCTCCATATACACCCGCCAAATCCGGACGATGCTGGGCCAATTGTGCTACAGCCTGGAATCAAACCAGGGGGTCTGTAGTGCCGCCTCAAGCACTGAGATGCAGTGCTTTAGACCGCTGCGCCACTCGGGAGCCCAAGTTGATACGTATGTAACATGTAAAATAACATACCAAGTGACCGAATAACTATGCAAGTACTAGTAGAAATGCTGTTGTTCCATGTAAAGCAATATGATTGGCCTTTAGAAATGTCACTCAATTATTAGGTCCAACTCACATCCAATCCTGGCCAGGGGTTTTGCAGGACTGACTTGTTGCTTAGCAGCCCCAGACCCAAACACACATGGTTATATAAAGGATAGTTCTTTGTTTCTAAAGGCACATGCATTTAGCCCTAAAATAATGTCCTCATGACAAATAGTGATTTTATTCATTCTAAATAGTAGGCTACTCATTCTCATTCCATACACATTACTGCAAACACTCAATCCGAATAGCAATTTCTTCAGAAAATGAACAAAAACTAGTATAAACGTTTGGAGAAAAAAGTGTTTTGCTGAGCCATATAAGGCAATTACAGTTTACTACTGTAGAAAGAAATATTGAAATATAGTTTTTTTTTCACTCTTTTAATAGTGATGGAGTGTACAGCAACTTTATTATTTTCTATTGTATACTATATTGTACAATTCTAAGACGTGAAATGGTCTTATAGCAAAGTGATTCATCCCTACACATTCGACTGTGCTGTGCTGTATTTTCCAGAGGTGCATGCCACAGTTGCTGTGACGCCATGACTTCTAATGTAATCTGAGTCTCCAACAAATGAGAATGTGAGATTTTGGGGGAACAGCAAGAACAAGATGGCTGGCCCGGGACAAGGAAAGTGTTTGGCTTCTTCTCCCTAAACGAGGCATTTCGTTTATAGTTTTCAGTTTCATTAGTAAATGTTTAGGCTACAAATTAGTTTTGTAACTATATATTTGTTGTTGTTGATATGCCTACTTTTGCAATAGTTTGATTTAGATCTACGCAGACGCTCACTTTCTTTAAAACAGACACTTTAATTGTTGCCTTATTTTTCTTTCTTAGTAAGCAATTTACGTTTCGAAGTATATTTGTTGTGGAGGAATATATAAAAATAATCAAATGTAGTTAATCTGTGGTTTCCCGAAATTATTTTGCAGTTTGATCTTTGGCAACTGTTTTACATATTTTAATGTGCGTAAAAATTTCCTTTTTGATATGTGCGTCAAGCGTGACATAAACATAGCACTTGTTAGTGGCTAGAGACATCATTGATTTAAAACTTTTCTTAAATGTAGTTAGTCTGGCCTTTAAAAGATTTTCAGTGAATTGGACTAACAATGAGCTCGACTCGGGTGAGATCACAACAACCGCAGCAGAATCAGGCTGGCAGGTCCGCCACGGGCGCAGCGGGTGCGTCCTTGCCGCACAGATTGGACACAAGCGAGGGGATTGAGATGGAGAATATACAGCCCCAGGATTTGGGGCTCGGGGGCGCCATAGGCACACCATCACCTCCCTCAAGACAAGCCTGGAGTCGGGACAACCCGGGGTTCGAACCGGAGGATGAGATGATGGGGGCCGATTGGCCTGCGGCTAGCCCGGGGAGAAGATCAGTGTCCACGGGCTCCAGCAGTAGCTGCAGCAGCGGGTTGGGAAGTTACACCGCCGGAGGGAGCAGCACCCGCATCCACGGTGGATTATACCCGACCCCGACAGTGGATGCCCTGCAGCAAGACAGACATGACATCAAAAGCTGTGGGAAGAGGATACTGAAGAAAATAAGAAGTTAGTGTCACTTATGTTGCCTCCTTGTATGAAGAACACTACAGCTGCCAAGAGGTCTGGACCTTTATGGCACAGGAGGTAGTGCACTTGCCCTTTAACTTGTAGAGACCTGGGTCACTGGCTCAAACACCCCTCAGGCCATTCTTCCTCACTGTTCCATACACCACTTAGGTCAGCACACACCTGTAGATGCCCTCATTGGTGATGCACTGGCATCTCAAGCCGAGCATTGACGGGTAAGGAAGGATACTAATGTGTGTGTTGATATATATATATTTTTTCATCCAGTTCTGTGGGGTACTCAGCTGATGGAGGACAGTGACAGCAGCAGAGAGAGGTACCTGAGGAACGTCCTGAGAGAGATGGTCACCTACGTCATCTTCCTCATCACACTGTGTATCTGTAAGTACCTCACACACACACACACACACACACACACACACACACACACACACCAACGGCTGGAGATTAAGGCAAGGCCTGGATGGACTTAAGCACACTTTTAATAGTTTCTCCCTAGGACTAGGCTTAATTTGTGTCAGTCCAACATCACATCAGATTTACCCACAGAGCATGCATTTTGGGCATCATAAGAGTCTTATTGCATAAAAAATGTTGTCCCCACTAAGTAAACATGCATTATTTAAGTAATAAAGCCCTAAGGGTTGTAGTATATGGCCAATATACCACGGCTAAGAGCTGTTCTTACGCACGATGCAACGCGGAGTGCCTGGACACAGCCCTTAGCCGTGGTATATTGGCCATATTTTACAAACCCCCGAGGTGCCTTATTGCTATTATAAACTGATTACCAATGTAATTAGAGCAGTAAAAATACATGTTTTATCATACCCGTGGTATACGGTCTGATATACCACGTCTGTCAGCCAATCAGCATTCAGAGCTCGAACCACCCAGTTTATAAACCAGAATAACTATAGGATAGGCTAACCAATATAATGACATTGTAATAAGGTAGTAATAACAGTACATACACCCATCAAGTATTGCACTTTTGTGCTCTCGCGTTTGTATTTTCTTGAAAACAGATTGAACAGTGGTATTATTACTATGTAACTGCTGCTCTTAGCAAGGAGTAATACTAACATCTGTCTGTGTGGATACTTTTACCCGCTGACCAGTTTTTCTTGCGGAAAAGTCATTTTCCAAACTCCTTAGGTCTGATAAACGATTCTGGCAGCGTATCAGGAAAGCTCCCTCAAGCCAGGAACTTCCATTTGAGTTTAGTCACCATCATCATACTTTTGGGAATAGGATTGTGGGAAGATGATGAAAGTCCCAGAATACAACACAGAGAGTCAGAATGCTATTAATCTGGTTTCACCACTCCTTATACCATGGCTGCTGAGAAGAAAAGTGTTCCCGTGCCAGAATGGGGTTTTGGGTGGATCAGGAAGTCATTTCCTGGCTGGCTAGATGGAGCTAGATCAGCCAGTTTCTGAGCCAGGTGGGAGTCAATGAAATAGAGGCTCGGAAAATAGCATCTATATGAGCCATATAGGCTATGTGTATGTATACATGTCTGTTTATATATATTTCTATGGATCTGGCAGCTGTACTTCATGGATGCAGTCCAACAGAGCATATAAAACAAATATTACAATGGAATGCTGAATAAGATGGTTGGACGATACTCTTCTCATCAATCATCTTGAAAAACATATACTTAAAAACTGGAAATCAAACAATCCTTCATCGTTAACATACTACAATAGAACGCTGAATACGTTTTATCCCTGTGACTTTGCTACTAGTGGAACTGTAAGCCTATTCCCCGTACATGGAAGCTGGTTGACCAGATTCATGCATACACAGATTTTTTGGGTTGGAACTGCTCCCCGGGCACCAATGACATGGATGTCGATTAAGGCACCCCCCCCCCCCCCCCCCCCCCCCCGCGCACCTCTCTGATTCAGAGGGGTTTGGGTTAAATACGGAAGACACATTTCGGTTGAATGCATTCAGTTGTGCAACTGACTAGGTATCCACTTTCCCCTATACGTTTTCTGTTTTCAGTGGCATCTTAAACAGGTCTTGGCCTCAGTGCGGTAGGCCAGGATTTGGTAGCTGGTGCTAACATGCAGTATAACACTGGCTCTCACTGTGCCTGTTGGACCACTCAGAGAGAGAAACACATGATCAAGACAAAGATGTAATTCACAATATTGTTGTATACATTTCTTAAAAGTCTAAGCCGTTGGGACCCCTTTAGCTATCTCCAAAATATTGAATTTGGCCTTTATTACTATAGCCCATAGAAACACATTGAATAAAACATTCATAAATGGCAAAAAATACAGTAAAAAAATATCTAGGAGATATAAGAAAGCACAGGAAATATATATATATATATTTTTTACACGTATTTAACCCCTTACGTTTGTTGGAACAAAACTACCTCCATACTTACATTCATTTGTATGGGTTACCTTTAAACGAGTCCCGTGACACTTGTCATAGAGCAAAACGGAGACGCCATCGTGTTCATGAGAGTCTCCCCTTTCTATACAGTGGTCAAAGGAAAATTCCACCCAAATACTTTTGGTATTCTTTTGGTATTCGTTTGATTAGTCCATTGTTGACATAGTCCCAAAATGTTTTGCTTGTCAGCAATCACATTTTCAAGATATGTAACTTTCAAAATAAAAAAATAATCCCATCATATGACTTAAAATGCAGCATCATATCATGCAAAATGCATCATACAGGGATGACTTCTGTATTTTGAAAGTTACATATCTTGAAAACGTTATTGCTGACAAGCAAAACATTCTGGGACTATGTCAACAATGGACTAATGAAACAAATACCAAAATATAGTTTCTGGGTGGAGTTTTCCTTTAAACTGATTGATTTTGATGGGGATTTATTTTATTATGTTTCTTAGATATAGACTCTGGGGGATAAACACAATATAGGCTAATACAACTGTAGCATGACAATAATATATAGTATAACGATAGGATAACATTAATGCAGTTATTCATTATTTTAAACAGTGTGTATGTATGCAAGTATGTATGAAATAAACGGTTATTAGAAAATGCTGAACAGGAATGCTGTGTGTAACTAAAAAAACAGTAGAAAATACGCCATAATCTCATCCAGAGAAGCTCTTACAGTATCTTCTGTTGTGTTTTGTAGTGACCTATGGGATGGTGGGCTCCAACATGTACTACTACACCAAGGTAATGTCCCAGCTCTTCCTGGATACACCACTGTCCCCGGGGGACACAGCCACGTTCAGAAGCCTCTCTACTATGGGTCAATTTTGGAAGGTAATGAGTCAATGCCCGGTTTGCTATGCTGTGGTTTAATTTCCTGCTTTGATTGGAAAATAGAGTTTGGTGCTTAGTTATGGTATAATAAAGATGTCAATGCATTTACTTTGGCCCATGCTCAGTTACACTATATATCAAAAAGTATGTGGACAAATTAGTGGATTCGGCTATTTCAGCCACACCCGTTGCTGACAGGTGTATAAAATTGAGCACACAGCCATGCAATCTCCACAGACAAACATTGGCAGTAGAATGGCCTAACAGAAGAGCTCAGTGACTTTCAACGTGGCAACATCATAGGATGCCACCTTTCCAACAAGTCAGTTCGTCAAATTTCTGCCCTGCTAGAGCTGCCCCGGTCAACTGTAACTGCTGTTATTGTGAAGTGGAAACGTCTAGGAGCAACAAAGGCAAACTCACAGAACAGGACCCCCAAGTGCTGAAGTGCGTATCGCGTAAAAATCATCTCACTACCGAGTTCCAAACTGCCTCTGGAAGCAACGTCAGCACAACAACTGTTTGTCAGGAGCTTCATGAAATGGTTTTCCATTGCCGAGCAGCTGCACACAAGCCTAAGATCACCATGCGCAATGCCAAGTGTCGGATGGAGTGGTGTAAAGCTTGCCGCAATTGGAATCTGGAGCATTGAAAACGTGTTCTCTGGAGTGATGAATCACGCTTCACCATCTGGCAGTCCGACAGAAGAATCTGGGTTTGGCGGATGCCAGGAGAACGCTACCTGCCCGAATGCATAGTGCCAACTAGAAGGAATAATGGTCTGGGGATGTTTTTCATGGTTCGGGCTAGTTCCCTTAGTTCCAGTGAAGGGAAATCGTAACGCTACAGCATACAATGACATTCTAGACGATTCTGTGCTTCCAACTTTGTGGCAACAGTTTGGGGAAGGCCCTTTCCTGTTTCAGCATGACAATGCCCCCGTGCACAAAGCGAGGTCCATACAGAAATGGTTTGTCAAGATCGGTGTGGAGGAACTTGACTGGCCTGCACAGAGCCCTGACCTCAACCCCATCGAACACCTTTGGGATGAATTGGAACACCGACTGCGAGCCAGGCCTAATCGCCCAACATCAGTGCTCAGCCTCACTAATGCTCTTGTGGCTGAATGGAAGCCAGTCCCCACAGCAATGTACCAACATCTAGGGGAAAGCCTTCCCAGAAGAGTGGAGGCTGTTATAGAAGCAAAGGGGGGACCAACTCCATATTAATGCCCATGATTTTGGAATGAGATATTCGATGAGCAGGTGTCCGCATACTTTGGGTCATGTAGAGTATATTAAACATAAAACCAAACAGCACACACTTAAAGTATTTATTCCAAATCACATTAACGAACACCGAATAGAACAATGGAGCATCTACATGAATCTAGTTAGAACCTAACAGATCAGCAGAGCTTTCAGTTGAAATTGTCTCTGTAACCAAAGCGTGTCTCTACACCATGCAGTTCACAGAGGGTCCCTTCCTGAACGGGATGTACTGGGAGGTGTGGTACAACAACAAGAGTCTCCCTGAGAACCACAGTATGATCTACTATGAGAACCTGCTCCTGGGGGTGCCCCGCCTCCGCCAGGTCAAAGTTCGCAACGAATCCTGCTCCGTGCACGAGGACCTTAGAGACAAGGTGCAGGACTGCTACAACATGTACACCCCTAGCAACGAGGACAGCGCCCCCTTTGGCCCCAAGAACGGAACTGCGTACGTCTACTAAACTACTATATACTACTGCTAAATGTACAGTATAGTTAAATGGTAACGTATAAGAAAGCAACCATAAAGCTACAATTGGTTGTAATGCAGGAAACTTAAACCAAAGCAAAAGTTGCAACATGTGCTCTAGTGTTAAGTGAAAGCACAATATGGATGCTGTCCACCAGATTAAAGCATGGCATATAAAGTCACTCACTTATACCAGACCAAACTGTTTCACTGTGGCTCTATGAGGAGTCTGACTGTTTGTCTGTCTTTCCACCAGGTGGGTGTACACAGAGGAGAACAGCCTGAATGGGAGTAGTTACTGGGGCCAGGTGGCTACCTACGGTGGAGGGGGGTACTACCAGGACCTGTCCCGTTCCAGAGAGGAGTCAGCCAGCCAGCTACGCTCCCTCAAACACCAGCTGTGGCTGGACAGAGGAACCAGAGCCGTCTTCCTGGACTTCTCTGTCTACAACGGCAACATCAACCTCTTCTGTATCGCCAGGTACAGAGCCCAGAGTTATTACATACTTATTACATGTGACTTAGGACTGTTTCACACTGGTTATATAGGTGATATATAGGTTAAATTCAGGCTCTCAAGACATCCATGGTTGGGATCAATGACTCATGCAATCCAATGGGAGTTCTCTAGCTACCATCCTCATCCACAAGCTGGTGTCATTGAACCTCGATTTTCACCCTAGAGAGGCTGAATACTGAATATCTCTTGTTCATTCAGTTTAACCTGTGTCGTGGAAATTCTACACAGGGACACTCGATGTCAATCTTAAATGAATCATTGTTTATTATCAGCGCGCAGGAGAGGTTCCAACCAACTCAATGCACCAAGTACACATGTTGATCAGGAGCTCTACCCAGGGCAGTCCCGTTAGTTATCTTATATACAGACAAGTTATATTTGCATGATTTAGCTTATTCATCATTCATAATTAATTCATCATTAACGTTTGCTTCATTCATGTGACCGACCAATACTGGGTCATGCATGTGACAGACCAATACCTCACGAGGCTTTTTCTCTCTAAGCTGAGACCTTGAAACTGAGATATCCCTTTCGCAAAACAAGGTTTTGGGCGTACTGCAAAATTGCAGATACTGATAGTGAGGATTCGTTCAATCAGTCACTTGCATGAACACAGAAATTGGTTATTAGAAAAGCACAAACATAACATTTTCCATCACACCTGTCTGCTTAACTGCGGGGAGAAATAAAATTGACTTTAATTGAATGTTTCAGGTTGTTGGTGGAGTTCCCCGCTACAGGAGGCGTAGTCACTTCCTGGCAGTTTCAAACAGTGCGTCTGATTCGCTACGTGTCCAGCTGGGACTACTTTGTCGGGGTGTGTGAGGTGGCCTTCTGCCTCTTCATCCTGTACTACGTGGTGGAGGAGGCCCTGGAGATACGCATCCACCGCCTGCGCTACTTCAAGAGCGTGTGGAACTGCCTGGACGTCCTCATCGTTGTGGTACGTAATACAAGATGGCTGCCGTAGCAGGGAGTAGGAAGTGATGGAGTCTTCCTGAAACACCCAAGTAAAGAAGGGCTCTGTTCCAATATCCACAGTAGAATACTACTTAGAACGAGGTAGTGAAAGGAACATGCATTCTAAATGGTAGGCTAGTATAGACATTGGAACAAAGTGAAGAGGTTTATGATCCCAATATTGTTGTGTTGAGATTCCAAATGTCCCCCTCTTCTTTTTCCAGTTGAGTGTTTCTGCCATAATCATCAACATCACCAGAACGTCTGTGGTGAGCAATCGTCTCAAAGACCTTCTGGAGAACCACAGCGCCCACCCCAGCTTCGAGCCTCTGGCACACCTCCAGGTTACGTTCAACAACATGGCTGCAGTCATCGTCTTCTTCTCCTGGGTGAAGGTAAGAATGGCTTTATGGTAGATTGACATGCTGAATGTAGCGATTGAGTGGGAATTGACCAGGAGCAGGCCTTGAACCAGGCACTCTGCAGTTGGTTACAGGATGAGAGTACTACTACCTGTGCCATAAAGGTCCAGACCTCTTGGCAGAAGCTGAAGTATGGTCCCATAAAGGGAGACCACATTAGCATGATTTTAATAAATAATAAATAAATAATACATTGTATTTATATAACACTTTTCAAAGACCCAAAGACGCTTGAATTCTAACCTGGTTTCTGCTCATCTCTCCTCTTCAGCTCTTCAAGTTCATCAACTTCAACAAGACCATGAGCCAGCTGTCCACCACCATGTCTCGCTGTGCCAAGGACCTCATCGGCTTCGCCATCATGTTCTTCATCATCTTCCTGGCCTACGCTCAGCTGGCCTACCTGGTGTTTGGCACCCAGGTCAACGACTTCAGTACCTTCCAAGCCTGCATGTAAGTAACAGTGGTTTGATTGGAATCAACCCAGCTTCCAAGATTCTCAGTTCTTTTGGTTCTCCATAGACAACCAGGGCTCCCAGATTGATTCCAATGTTGTTTGGAATTTGACCCATTGGAACTGTAATGGTAACGCACCCCTATAGCTTAACCTTAGCCTCTTCATATCTTCTTATTTTCCTTGTAGTTTTACCCAGTTCCGCATCATCCTGGGAGACTTTGAGTTCTCAGAGATAGAGGAGGCTAACCCAGTCCTGGGACCCGTCTACTTCACCACCTTCATCTTCTTCATCTTCTTCATCCTCATGGTGAGTTTTGATATACTACCATTGATAAATATGTGGATATATTGATATATATTGATATTGTACTATTTGATCTACAGTGTCTAGAGAGATTAAAGTTTGCTCCGACTGCCGTTTGTCTCCCTGTAGAATATGTTCCTGGCCATCATCAATGACACCTACTCTGAGGTGAAGGCAGACATGTCCCAGCAGAGGTCTGAGATGGAGATGACGGACCTCATTAAAAAGGTACGGGACCCAAATGGTATGTGGTGTGTTATTTGTTCTAGTAGGCGTATGTGATGCCTTAACGCGTCAACTGCAAGCTGACTTGTATCCTAGAAAATGCATATTTAAGATTCAATGAAGTAAAGACTTAAATTGAAAAGCAGACTCAAGTTAATGTAAGTTTACGTTACTGTTGAATATTATCAACATGTACTGAATAACTGCTAAATGCAGAATGAAAATGGCAACAACATTTACCTCATAGTGTTGATAGGTGTCCTTGAGTTTGTCTGAGTGTTGTTCCTCTCCCTGCAGGGCTGTAACAAAGCCTTGATGAAGCTGAGACTGAAGAAGACCACTGTGGATGACATCTCAGACAGTCTGCGCCAGGCCGGGGGGAAACTCAATTTCGAAGAGCTCCGCCAGGACCTCAAAGGGTGACCGCTGCAGTGAATGAAACCGAACTGGGCCCTAATGAAACCTCAACTAATTAATTCATAAACGTACATTATTTAATTAATTTATACATACATATGAAGAAAGTGTGTTGATGTTTGTGTGTTTAGAAAGGGCCACACGAATGCAGAGATTGAGGCCATCTTTGCCAAGTACGACCATGATGGGGACCAGGAGCTGACTGAGCACGAACACCAGCAGATGAGGGATGACCTGGAGAAAGAGAGAGTGAGTGGATGCAAACACACACACACACACACACACACACACAGGGCAATGAGCTGCGCGCACACACACACCCGTTTGCAGATGTTCAGTGTGTCTCTGCACACATGCCAGGAGGACTTGGATCTGGAGCGCAGCTCGATGCCCAGACCCACCAGTGGGCGGAGCTTCCCCCGTAGCCATGACGACTCAGAGGAGGATGACGACGAGGACAGTGGTCATAGCTCCCGTCGCCGCGGCAGCAGCTCAGGAGGCGTGTCCTACGAAGAATTTCAAGTGTAGGTTGAATTCTATTACCACCCAAACATGCTAGTGCTGGGCCTTGAAGTGGAAATATTGGGCTTTTGAAGGGTCCTCTGTGTGTTTCTGACAGAGGATGTATCTGGTATTTAAATGTTTAAAATCATGTGTCATAACTATGGATTTAGCATGATATAGCATGTTATATAAAGGTGTTATTGACATTGTTGTTGTGTTCTATTCCAGGCTGGTGCGTCGCGTGGACCGGATGGAGCACTCCATAGGTAGTATAGTCTCTAAGATCGATGCAGTGATTGTGAAGCTGGAGGCCATGGAGAGAGCTAAGCTCAAGAGGAGAGACGTACTGGGAAAACTGCTGGATGGGGTGCTGGAGGTGAGGCGGAATGTACATGGTAGCACACACACACATGCCCATCTCTCCCACTCCAAACATTTATGTAAAATCTTTCCTTCCCCTCTCTTTCTATCCATCTCTCTCTCGTCCCAACATCTCCCTTCTCCCTTTTGTTTCCCCTCTCTCTCTTTCAATCTCTCCCTCTCTTTCCTTATACCCCCCCCCCCCAGGATGAGAGGCAGGGACGGGACATGGACGTCCACAGAGAGCAGATGGAGCGGCTGGTGAGGGAGGAGCTAGAGCGCTGGGAGTCTGACGACACTGTCTCACAGGTCAGCCACCACCAGCCCACCACTGCCATTGGTCCAGGAGCCCAACCACGCCCCCGCAGCGCCCGCCCCTCCTCCTCCCTGTCTACTGACGGGGTGGATGCTGGGGGTAATGGGAGTGGCCACGTGTGAAACTCCACCCACCAGATAGTTACACGGTAACGAGAAAGGGACATTCCAGTATTTTTGCAGGTTCTAAGCGCCGAATCCTTACTTGAGATGTGTGCATGCAACTTCAATTTCCACCAAATGTTCCCATTGACGTCAATGGAAGATTATCATGGAAGTCCGAGTTATGCAAGCAAATTTTAAGTAAGGATTATGACCTATCAGACAGTAACCAAAACCGCTAAGGGTAACTTTAAGGGACATTTTGTGAGGTTGGAGGTTCTATCTGCATTGTATTCATTGGTTGTGACACAATAGGTTGTCTCACAAATGAAGATATCCTTGTGTACATGTCCTTTCTGGTTGTGTTCTACTATGATGATGGTACATTATATACCGGTACACAGGCCCATCATCACCCCTCTGTATTTGTTTGAAATCTTTACACATGATACCACAATGGCAAAGTCACATGCACGGCACCTCAGCTATCCAAGAGTGTCAGTGAGGCTCACCATGTAGACTCATAAGGTCTGAAAACATTCCTATGTACCCCATCTATAAGATGGTACATGCTTTAAGGCAAGCAAAATATGACCTGATACATTTACAAAGCTTACAGTGCAAGAATGTAGCATTTAAAAAGAAGGGTGAATATAATGAAAAGTTGGGTACATGAAGATGCTGGACACAATGAAGGATTTGATTATATCGGAGATATTACATGGGATGTAATGAACTAGCCTCTAAGCTATTTCAATTTTGTTTATATTCTAAGAATACATGGCATATCATTGCTTTTCCTGTGCGGGTACGAAGCTCAAAGGCTTTTGGTTTTGATAACACGGTATATGCACGCACGCACATCTTGATATTCCACAGGAAAAAAATGTGTCTCTTCGATCGTTCATTTGCTGCTTTCCTTTTTGTCATTTTAATATAGTTACAAGTGTGGCTCATCCTGTCATAATTACTCATCTATATCACTTCGTAATGACTTACAAAACACCTTCTTTATAAACGTATAATATGGTACGTATTGTAACTTGAAACAAACTTCGATTCGGAGTGCATCTAGGGTCATGTGATCCTCGTGTGTATTATTATGTATGTATTTTGTAGTCTATTATTTAGTAATGTTTTGCGGTTACATACTGTATATCAAAGGTGTGAAAAATAAAGAAAGTGTATTGTGACGCTAAACGATGAAGTGGTGTGTTAAAAAAATCTTACATTTCATCCGGGTCGTTGTTTGATACGTTTGAACACACTGATGGCGACTCTAAACCTCGACTATAAGGTGTTAGTCATGGACCTGTGATGTACATTGAACCGGTTTGATTGGAGTTGATATATGTTGGGGGGTTAAGTGAGATTAAATGGGATTATACCCTCTATTGACCTAAATGCCTGTTCTGGAGACGAGACGCCTGCTCTGTCACCAAGGTGTTACTAAAAGGTCTCACAAAGGAGACCATTTAGGCGTAATGATGTCAAGGCACTAGTCTCTTCCCACAGCCTCTGTATGTGTTCTAGAAGTCAGGTATTTCTTGCATATGGTCCATTGGAACCACGTCGTCAACTGTTGGTATCGTCGATTTTGGCTATACATTGTTGGTAGGTAAATAATGACCACTCGCAGAGTTACATGACATTTTTTATAAAAGTATTGTTTCCAAAAACTAGCATAGATTAAAAAAAAAGTAATAAACATGATAGAAACAAACAATTCAATGATTAAACAAAAAATAAATGCACTAATAAACGTCATTCATATAAACATAATTCAACATCATCATTTTTCAAATAAATGAGTTAAGTTCCTCTATAAATAGAAACTATTAACTAAATACCAAGGCATGGTCTCATACTAGACTGGAACAAATAAACACAGCACTCAACATGAGAACAGTGAGAACTGGAGGGCAAAGATTCCACATGAATATTCATGTGGTGAAAATGTACATTCATGCATAGATTTTGAACATTAAAGTGACAGTTTAGCCAAATTACTCATTTACAGCGCTAGTGTCGCTAGTTCAGCAAAGCCAAAGCGTGGATTGCAGTCTCCACTTGTCTAGGAAATGAATATGTGAATTTGTAATTTGGCTGAACTAGCCCTTTAACCTGTTTCAGTGCAAACCATAGGCACACTGCTTCATGTTATAACATATGTATGGAGAGAGAAACTACTGGCAGTTTGTCATTGATATAACCACAGAGGAGTGAATAGTAAGGCAAATTAAGACACTTCTTATGTGAACTTCTTAATAAACCGCAGCTTCAGATAGGCGATGACCAGGAAAATGAGTGTCATTATCGCCAAGGCAACGTGGTTTTCCCATAGGCCCCATGTAGTGTATTCTATTCCTAGGTAGTCCAGGTATTGTTCACCGGTGCACCTGGAATGAGATAGAGAAGACCAAACAAACATTCACCACAGTGTATCTATGGGACCCAGTGGGCAGGCAAGACTGGGTCACGTTAAATAGGAAGTGTTTTGAAACTAAGTGAAACCTGAACTCGTCCAATAAGAAACACTAATTTGAGTTTTCAGCCTTCGCTGCTATTGATACCCAGTAATGCTGCCTTATTGAAATAAGCCTTTCTCTAATGTACCGTAGGGGATCTAGCTAACACACAACTGGTGCTCCATCTACAATTACCTCCTCAGTAGATGGTGCTAGAGGTACCATAGTGACCATAGGCACTGCATTTAATGACACCATGTATGTAGCCTACTGATAATACTCGTTATATACCCTATAAGCCGTATTTAAGTCAACCAACATCTATCACTATTTCTAAGCGTGTGTGTGTGCATGTGTATGTGTGTGTATTACGCTACTCACATTATCCCGAGAGCGTGAGTAGCGTTCATACTGCAGTTGGTCATCATGCCAGAGCCAGGAGACGTGGCGCGAACGGCAGGGTCCTCACAGAACTTCAGCCCCACAAACTCGTTGATCTCCAGGGCCTAGTCATTAAGAAACGTTACAATACTTAGTAATACAGTTTTATTATAGTATATAATGTCATACTGTATATATTAATATTTAAAACAATTTGATATGTAATGAATAGCGCTATAAAAGTTGAGTACATTATTGTTATTAATACAGTATGGGAACATTTCACTAGATCAATTGAGAGGTTGTGGCTGACTGAGCTACTTACTGTTAGACCGTAGCGAGGGATACTGAGGTACTTCAACCAGGCCAGCCAGTCCATGATACTGGGCAGGTTCACCAGCAGACCTGAGAAGATCTGACCACACATCATTGAATATTAATTCACCAATGACATTGATGATTCTCTCCCCCCCCCCCCTCCAAATTGCAATTTTACCAGGAAATTGCCATTTTACAAGACAGACCTGGTAAGATGGAAGGAGCCCAACAAGCAGAACAAGATACAATAATGTTATCGCCCCAAGGATCCAACACAGCCACAGAGAGAGAGTTGGGTAGCAGGTAGCCTAGCAGTTAGAGTGGTGAGGCCAGCAAACGGAGCGTTAAAGAGGCAAACCGGCAACCAGTTCGGATCCCGGGTCCGACAGGGAAAATAAAATCTGTTGGGAAGAGAGCTGGTAACTGGAGGATTGCTGGTATCAAATCCTAGATTCCGTTGCCTGCCGTTGTGCCCTTGAGCAAGGCACTTACCCCCCACAACAACAGCTCCCTGGGCGCCCAGTGAGGCAGCCCCCCGCGCCTCTCCAAAACCTGGCGTGTATGCATAAGCATGTGTGTCTTTCGGAGGGGTTGGGTTAAAAGTCAAATTTTGGTTGAATCCACTTAGGAAGCAACACTGATTGACAATACATTTCACATGCTGTCGTGCAAATGGAATAGACAACAGGTGGAAATTATAGGCAATTAGCAAGACACCACCAATAAAGGACTGGTTTTGCAGGTGGTGACCACAGACCACTTCTCAGTTCCTATGCTTCCTGGCTGATGTTTTGGTCACTTTTGAATGCTGGCGGTGCTTTCACTCTAGTGGTAGCATGAGACGGAGTCTACAACCCACACAAGTGGCTCAGGTAGTGCAGCTCATCCAGGATGGCACATCAATGCGAGCTGTGGCAAGAAGGTTTGCTGTGTCTGTCAGCGTAGTGTCCAGAGCATGGAGGCGCTACCAGGAGACAGGCCAGTACATCAGGAGACGTGGAGGAGGCCGTAGGAGGGCAACAACCCAGCAGCAGGACTGCTACCTCCGCCTTTGTGCAAGGAGGAGCAGGAGGAGCACTGCCAGAGCCCTGCAAAATGACCTCCAGCAGGCCACGAATGTGCATGTGTCTGCTCAAACGGTCAGAAACAGACTCCATGAGGGTGGTATGAGGGCCCGACGTCCACAGGTGGGGGTTGTGCTTACAGCCCAACACCGTGCAGGACGTTTGGCATTTGCCAGAGAACACCAAGATTGGCAAATTCGCCACTGACGCCCTGTGCTCTTCACAGATGAAAGCAGGTTCACACTGAGCACATGTGACAGAGTCTGGAGACGCCGTGGAGAACATTCTGCTGCCTGCAACATCCTCCAGCATGACCGGTTTGGCGGTGGGTCAGTCATGGTGTGGGGTGGCATTTCTTTGGGGGGCCGCACAGCCCTCCATGTGCTCGCCAGAGGTAGCCTGACTGCCATTAGGTACCGAGATGAGATCCTCAGACCCCTTGTGAGACCATATGCTGGTGCGGTTGGCCCTGGGTTCCTCCTAATGCAAGACAATGCTAGACCTCATGTGGCTGGAGTGTGTCAGCAGTTCCTGCAAGAGGAAGGCATTGATGCTATGGACTGGCCCGCCTGTTCCCCAGACCTGAATCCAATTGAGCACATCTGGGACATCATGTCTCGCTCCATCCACCAACGCCACGTTGCACCACAGACTGTCCAGGAGTTGGCGGATGCTTTAGTCCAGGTCTGGGAGGAGAACCCTCAGGAGACCATCCGCCACCTCATCAGGAGCATGCCCAGGCGTTGTAGGGAGGTCATACAGGCCCGTGGAGGCCACACACACTACTGAGCCTCATTTTGACTTGTTTTAAGGACATTACATCAAAGTTGGATCAGCCTGTAGTGTGGTTTTCCACTTTAATTTTTAGGGTGACTCCAAATCCAGACCTCCATAGGTTGATACATTTGATTTCCATTGATAATTTTTGTGTGATTTTGTTGTCAGCACATTCAACTATGTAAAGAAAAAAGGATTTAATAAGATTATTTCATTCATTCAGATCTAGGATGTGTTATTTTAGTGTTCCCTTAATTTTTTTGAGCAGTGTACTTATGTCTATACAACTAGCAAATAATACTAATGAGACAGTGCTGAACTTGAACCATAACTGGCATTGCAATACAACTCACGTGCACCGCGCGCATGTGGCCACTGCATTACCCCCTCGTCCCTACACTCACCATCATGAAGACGAAGCTGATGGTCATGAAGATGTTGGCCAGTGCCACCACGCTCTGGTCGGCAGAGATGGCCATGGTCATAGCAGTGGCTGTGTAGGCCACCAGAGTCACAGTGAACATGAAGATGAAGAAGGCTGCCGGAGTGGCTTTGAAACCTGCAGGACAGACACACACTTCAATGTTAGGATCATTTCAGAGTCTGGTTTTGAGTGGTAGAGCCATCTTGACCTTTCTTGACCTTTTACGGTCTGTGCCATTACCGTCTCAAATCAAATCTAATGTTGTTCGTCACGTACACAGTTTACAGCAGGTATAAAAGGTGCAGCGATATGCTTGTGTGCTAGCTCCCTCAACATCTGTGTCCCTCTCTACTTTTCTTCCATCTTAACAATTAAAATGTAATCTGATCTATTCACTTTTTCATAAATGCAAATGTCTCATTTCCATGTTGTGCATCCAACCCACCTATCATGAAGTAGACCACGCAGCTGAAGATGATGGCGGGGATGGTGCGCAGGGTGATGATGTCAGACAGGATCTTGGACAGGAAGTAGACTGAGACTCTGTAATACCCGCTGATGTACTCATGGCTGTTGGGGACAACGAAGACAAGACGTCTACATTATCTCATACTGAGTCTTTTCTTGTCGAACTTCCTTGGCTAGGGGCATTTGGAACTAATGCTTGCTTGCTGGGGTATTTCATACTGATAATGCTCATTTACAGAATAATTAGAAGTACAAAGGTCAAACAGTGAACTAAATGTAGCTGTAAACTAAATGTAGCTGTAAACTAATGCTTGTTGGTCCATTTCATACTGATAAGTATTTAGGCAGAGACAGTGTCTTCATAGTCATATATATATATATATATATATATATATATATATATAGAGAGAGAGAGAGAGAGATTTGTTGTTGTTGTTTTATAATATATTTTCCCTTCATTTTTCCCCACTCCAGATACAAAATTATACGAACAACTTCCAGACACACACACAAACAATGACTACATCGCATCTGGCCAGACCCGCATGCTCACACCCCCATATTCTATACTTCAAAGAGACCAGGTTATAGTGGTGCCACTGGTCTACTACAATACGTACACAAACAGCTTCCTCTCTGTGATGAAGAGCTCGGCAGCGGACAGCGTGCTGAAACACTGGTTGGTGGTGATAAAGAACAGAGCACCGATCCTAAAAGAGGGGAAACATCACGTCACCTTCAGAATGATAAACCAAAGACCCCAAAAGCTGACTGAAAAGACAAGGGTTGCGTATGAAATGGCGCCCTATTCCCTATCTAGTGCAGGGCCATAGTGCACTAGATGGAATAGGGTGCCATTTCAGAGACAAAAAAGGATGCCTCATCCAACCCTTCATATGATCCTTAACCCAATAACAGCCAAAGAGAGAGAAAGTCAGAGAAATACCTCGCCTACTTTTGGCCACCAGGACTATTTACATTGCCTGCCCCCTTGTTTTTACACTGTATATAGCCTTGTTATTGTTATGTAATTTTATTGTGTTAATTTTTATTTTTTACTTTAGTTTATTTAGTTAATATTTTCTTTACGCTATTTCTTGAACTGCATTGTTGGTTAAGGGCTTGTAAGTAAGCATTTCACGGTAAGGTCTACACCTGTTGTATTCGGCGCATGTGACAAATAACATTTGATTTGATTTGACCTAATACCTGACATAAGCCATATTATATAGCTACACATATTGATCTCAACTATACCCCCAATACACTAACATTACATTAAATCCATATGTTCTGTCCAGTCATGGATGGAATGAAAGGGGGTAAAAGGGAAAGGGGGATACCTAGTCAGTTGTACAACTGAATGTGTCTTCCGCATTTAACCCAAACCCTCTGAATCAGAAAACCCTATTGAAATGAATGCTAAATGTGTGTGTGCTCCATCGGGTTTCAGACTAAGGGGACCAAGGTAGTGGAGTCGTACTGTAGGTCTAATTGGACCCAGACCTGGGTTCAAATACTATTTTAAATATCTCAATTACTTTCACATACATTCAAAGTAAGTATTCAGATATATTTTATTTGAAAAGACAAGTAGTTTAATATTTTAATGTATTTGGAAATACACTTGGAAAGTATTTGTCAGTATTTTCAAATACTTATTTCAAATACTATTTTCAAATACCTGGGCTAAATGCATGGGAGTGTATTTGAGTCAGTGTATTTGAGTATTTGAAATAGAATTTGGCAGACTATTTGTTTTTTTTACAAATAACGATTCAAATACTCAAATACTTGTGCTGTGTATTTGAAAATACTCAAAAAAAAGTATTTTAAATTACAGATACTCAAATACACATGTATTTGAACCCAGGTCTGATTGGACCAATAAAATAATGGGCAAAATCCTGATTATTGTAAGCAGATTAATGTGGCTACATTATCCTGTTATAACATCTCTCTCCCAAAGCAGAGTCATTTACTAACCTAATCTTTACAGGCAGATGCTGCCGTTGTTCTGCCTCATGGGTTCTCATCAGTTTCAGTCTACAGATTAATCGAAATCAGATCACCTCGACAAGTTAAGTCCCTTAGTCTTAATTGACTGTATAGTACCAGTGGGTGGATGGATGTATTGTGGCATTTACAGGAAATTTAGCCTGCAGGCGTAACCTTTTATGACATCAGAGATCCGGCTGAGTTGACATGAGCATCAATTGGTTGATGCCAAACTTTTTGCAAAAACGTCCCAGGATGAAGTTGAGGCTGATAATGGGCTGGAGATCAATTACATCCCATTCTGAGATGGATTTGAGGAGTTGTGATAATAATGCTTTCCCCACCTGTTCTGTATTCCACTCTGATCGTCCTTCACCCTGAAGAAAATGGCGCCCACAATAAGAGCCAGGAAAATGGTGACTCCCAGCTGCCCAACAGAAGAGAAACATGGTAAGTTTAGTAGCCAGGTCAAAGGTCAGCAAATCAGCCAATCATAACGGCATATTTTACATCATGACCCGCAATGCGCCGTGGCATTGGGGAGTAAACGATCTTAAATGTCTGACAATATGCCTTACACAACTGAGACTTCAGTCGCATGAGGGAGCTCATTTTGATCAAAGGTCCAGGCCCGTTTTAATCTAAACTAATCTCTGTTGGTCTATAGCAAAATGGGTTTCGCTCTCTTTCAGAGTATATATATATTTTTTCTTAAAATACAGTGAGGTAAGATGCTATGACGAATACAAAGGCCAGGAGAAGTATCACTACTTCTCCTGGCCTTGCAGAGGCAAATGGTCTAACCCTGATAGAACCTGATTAGTCCATTAAGAATGTCGACATTCTTAAACCTAGGAATATTCCCACACAAACTACACCGAATCAGCGTTCTCCACACTCTCCCTCATCCATTCTCATCTACAGACCGGTAGTCCATGTTGGATAAGAAAGAGAGAAAGGGTCAAATCTCCAGAGCGACATTTATTTTAATCCTGACGATTTACATTTTATGACAGGGCTAACCGGCCCCATCGCAGTTCCCAGGGTGAGAGGATAAGCTAATAAGGTTGAACCTTTTTCACCTCATTCCCCCTCATTCCCCAAGCCCCTCATGTGGAAGCCCAGCGCGGGTAATGGCGCAATCATGTGACAGCCGGCTGGGCCCTGGCCACCGGGACCCGAGACCGAGGGGGGGGGTATATGATATCACTTCAGTTCTAGGCAACACCAGGGTCACAACAGTCAGCAAAGCTGATTAGCTAGGAACTCCAGCCCTCTAGCCTTTAAAATCCAGACCCCAGCTTGGGATTATTGTCGATTTACTATGGGGCCAATTAGCTGTTAATAATTCTTAAAGTGAGATACTTCTGATGGGATGTTGTTGCCATGGATGACTAATGAGGGCATTAAGTCGTCAGAAGCCCCTCCTCCCATCCTTTCGGCGCAAAAGAGCTTGTTGTGAAGTGGAGAAAAGTACAGGGGCCGCAATTAAAAATCACATTATTCTCAAGTCACTTGCTCGGAGGGTAAATCCGGTCATAAGGTCGTTAGTGATAGGAGCATAGCTAAATGTATTCTGAGAATCCTATCTCTACTGGGGTGTGTTTGAAATGAGTTTAGGGGACATTGGTACAGCACCTCTTAAGCTTTTAACCCACAAATGGTCATCCACTCCTAAACATTGGGACCTTTGATGGATTTTCTCAACATCTTTGAGAGTCTTTGATTCGATTTATGACAACGGACAAAATACTTCTATGTAAGGAGTCTCAAACTGGTGGCCCGCGGGCAATGTGCGGTCCTTGAGCCGATTCAATGTGGTTTCATTAGACACCATGGAGGGAGGTACGTGTATGTTTGTGAGTCTGTATCGGTGTGTGTGTGTCTGTATCAGTGTGTGTGTGTGTGTGAGTCTGTATCGGTGTGTGTGTGTCTGTATCGGTGTGTGTGTGTGTGTGTGTGTGTGTGTCTGTATCGGTGTGTGTGTGTGCTAACCTGTGCCACAGAGGTCTGGGGGTTCAGTGCCAGGTTCCGGAAGGTTCTCCCTAGGACCCAGTGGAACTGGGTGAAGAAGGAGCTGTTGTAGGTGATGGTACGGGACGTGGGCTTGGTGGTGTACTGCTTTCCCTGGGCGATCCTCTCCAGTTCGGCCTGTGTGTCTCTGAAGTAGGAGCAGTTCCTGTACTCCTCCACTAGACGCTCCTCGATGGTCTGCCTGGAGCCACTAAGCTCCTCAAAGTCAATGTCTAGGACGGGAAAGAAAGAGAGAACCCAAGAGTCAATACACTCTGTTAAAGGTTGGAGACCATCACCCCTTAATTCACCCATGACAACAACCAATTTTTTAATCCAAAAGACCCAGATACAAATTCATTGAAGTCCAGTCCGAGAGCCGGTTGACTACTCCCATTGTACCAAAACGGTTCCTTCCACAATCCACACCAATAGTGTATGCCTGTCGCTATTAGCATTAGCTGTAGCCTCTAAAAGGCCAACAAATCCTACTGTACCAGTACTGTGACCTCCAACCGCCTGGCTTCCAGCCTCAGGCCGTGGCTGCAGCACCAGCCACCGGCTCCCTCCAACCCCTGTCCCTGTCTGGGCAACAGCAAGCCTCCTGCACCCCTAATCTCACTGACCCAGGGTCAGATGTTGTTTGTGTTAGAGGGCTGGGTCCCTTGTTCTTTTACAATGGCGCCAGGACTCTAAGGCACCTTTCAGGTGCTTGCGAGACTTGGACTTATATACTGCACACTGTTTGTTAGTGTGTGTGTGTGTGTGTGTGTGTGTGTGTGTGTGTGAAAATGACCTTCTCCCTGAATCTTGTTCATAGCAGTGGCGGTAGAGTCTCCGTTGATGACGTCTAGGAAGAAGTCGGCTGGGTTGTTGTGGGCCTCGCAGGCGTAACCTAGGATACAACAACACATGTGAACATTAGTCTCCTCTATATCAATCTCTATTCTGCTCTGTCCCGTTCAGGACTTATTTTACATCAATCTAACTTCCTTTATCTCTAAAACAAGACAACAATGGTAGCTCCTTATACTTTGCGTGTAGTATTGATATTGAAGGTTACCTATGTTGGCGAAATAGTCCAGTGCATTCTGGGCCGGCCCATGGTACACCTGTTTGCCGCTGACTAGCAGGGTCAGGGAGTCGAACAGCCGGTAGATGGAGTAACGCGGTTGGTGGATGGACATGATGATGGTGCGTCCGTGATTGGCCATCCTAAAAGGAGATAAGACAATGAAAAAAGGGCTTGAGGTCTACATTTAACAGGGTAGCCAATAAGAAAGGCAGAACATTTAGAGGACAAATTTAGGAAACAGGAAACAGGAAGGGCAATAAGAAAAGCATCAAATATGAAACATAGGTTACCTCCCACTTAACCCACCCATTATGAATCAATCGAAATGTAGCTCAGTTGGTAGAGCATGGCGCTTGCAACGCCAGGGTTGTGGGTTCGTTTCCCACGGGGGGCCAGTATGAAAATGTATGCACTCACTAACTGTAAGTCGCTCCGGATAAGAGCGTCTGCTAAATGACTCAAATGTAAAATGTACTTCTTGGAATAGTAGTGCTATACCTTTTGAGGACAGAGTTAGCGGTGCTAGCGCCCAGGCCCGTTACAGTAACAGTTTAGAGCTATAGCTACCTTTTGAGCAGCAGTAGGACAGAGTTAGCGGTGCTAGCGTCCAGGCCCGTGGTGGGTTCATCCAAGAAGAGAACAGAGGGGTCGATGATGAGCTCCATGCCGATGTTGGTCCTCTTCCTCTCCCCTCCAGAGATCCCCCGGATCATCTGGGTACCAACCTGGGAAGAAACACAGTCACATCACATGATAGCCTTTGGACATCCATCTTATGCTGTATGGCAGTGGTTCCCAACCTGGGGTCAGAGTTCACAGGGGGGGCAGTGATCTCATTTGCTTTGAGGTCAAACATGCATAAAATGTTCCACTATAATTTAATTGTAAAATTAATACATTTTAAAATATCATTAAAGATTATATGCTTGCAATGCCAAGGCCAATCTAAAAAAATAAGAATAATGGCAGAGAAATGTAAAAGCGGTAATTCCCCGGAAAAAAGTGTGCACCTCAATGACCTGCGCTCAATCAGTTTCAGCTAGCAGCTCGTTTTTCCTGCAGTCAGAGCATCACTATTTTATGAATTAAACAACATGTCTAAGAAACGTAAAAGTGCTGATGACTCATCATCAAAAAAAAAAGTATGGCTATATCTCGAGAGTTATCTTAACTTCGGTTTTATTTAAGGACAGGACTCGGCCAGAATGTGTCATTTGTGGCGAGAAGCTAGCTAATGACAGCATGAAGCCAAGCAAAATGCAACGACACCAGGAAACAAAACACCAGGAGACTATTGGTGAAAGTCAGGATTTTTTTGAGAGGAAGAAGCAGTTGGCACTATCAAAAAGATCCACAGACATCAGAAAAGCATTTGAAAGAGCAGGCAGTGATTTACACAGAGCCACGGAGGCGTCATTTGAGTGTTCGCTATTAATTGGCTGGAGATTGTCAAAACCAGCTGCACGAGAAGCTTAGGAATGTTCCCTTTGCCATTCAGTTGGATGAAACAACAACAGTGTCAGACAAATCCGTGCTCATCGTTTATGTGCAATATATTGACGGTGATGACTTGAAACAAGACATTCTTATGTCTAACAATCTAGCCACAACAACAAGAGGCCAATATATTTTTATAGCTATGGACTCATATCTCTCGTCCAACAATCTGCCCTAAGAGAATATTGTTGCATGCTGCACTGATGGGGCTGCAGCGTTGATGGGCAAAAACAAGGGATTTAACTGCCGATTGAAGGAAAAAGCCCCGGGATGCGCAATTTTCCACTGCATGCTACATCGCCAAGCATTGGGCAGTAAAACACTTTCGGAAGACCTTAGTAACACCCTGGCAACTGTTGTTAAAGTTGTAAACTTTATTAAGGCTCGCCCTACTAACAAGAGACTGTTTGCCCAGCTGTGTGAGGATGAAGCGCATCAAACACGGCTGTTATACACAGAGGTACGCTGGTTGTCACGTGGACAAGTGCTTGTGCGTTTTATGGAACTGCAGGAAAAAATAAAGGAATTCTTGCAAGATCACAATCGACCGCTGTGCGAACAGCTGACTGATGCGTTTTGGAACAAAACGGCATACCTAGCGGATACATTCACTCTCTACAATGAGGCAAACAAGCGGATGCAGGGTCCTGAATCAAACGTCATGCAGTGCAAATACTCTCTCGACGCTTTTGTGCGGAAACTGGAGTACAGAGTTGGAAAAATGTCAAAAGGGGCGCTACAACAATTTCCACTGCCGATGAAACAGTCTGGTGGCACTGTGCCTGCGTCTTTACGCACTGAGTTTACCAGGCACATGAACATGCTTCGGGAGGAAATTAAATCCAGTTTAGCCGATGTTGACGAATACTTATCAAAGGAATCGTGGGTGATGGACCCTTATATTTGCAGTCTCGAGGATGTGGAATACCTCAGCTGAGAAGATGAGCTTGCTGACCTTCAAGCCGATTCTATGTCAAATAAATATTTCCACGAGAACGGATACAAAAAGTTTTGGATTGTCAAAGGACACGCTGTTGCACCCAGACTGGCCAAACACGCAGCTACAAGGGTTATTCTACCATTCAGCACTACGTACCTGTCTGAGACGGCCTTCAGCGCGCTTGTAACAATAAAAACAAAAGCCCGTAACAGGCTCGATGTCCACCAGGACTTTAGGCTGGCTGTCACTAGCATCACACCTGACATCCCATCCCTGGTCAGAGGTATGCAGGCCCAAGGTGGCCATTCGTTTTTTAAGGAAGGAACAAGTTATTGATTGTAACGTACTGTTTGTTAATGTTACTTATTTTTATAACACATACATTATAGCTGTGTCAAAACCAGTGTTCACATGATGTGCATGTGTGTATGCAACAAACTGCCCCGTTTCAGTTAATTGGTCTGAGGGAGATCTAGGACAGAGCTATATAGGTGCTGTTAATCACTTATTACGCTGATAATGAATCATTATTATTATTTTGGTAACAATGTGTGTGTGTGTGTATAGGCCTACAGTTGATTATACACAAAGATAACCAGGGCAAACCAAAGAGAAAAGGAAAGAAAAACTATAATTGATGTACATTTTTGCCAATAAAGATTTGGAATGAATCACTTTATTATTATTTTATTTTTTTGGGGGGGGGTGGCTCCAAGGAAAAAAGGTTGGGAACCACTGCTGTATGGTACCACAGCCTTGTACCACATGATAGCCCTCATATGGCCTGAAACCTTCAAAATGTAATTTCAAAACATTGGTGAGAAGGAAGCAATTTTACAGCACCTCTACACTGGGTATACAAAACATTAAGAACACCTGCTCTTTCCATGACAAAGACTGACCAGGTGAATCCAGGTGAAAACTATGATCCCTTATTGATGTCACTTGTTAAATCCACTTCAATCAGTGTAAATGAAGGGGAGGAGACAGGTTAAAGAAGAATGTATAGGCCTTGAGACAATTTGTCACACCCTGATCTGTTTCACCTGTCTTGTGATGGTCTCCAACCCCCACCAGGTGTCTCCCATTACCTCATGTGTATTTATACCTGCGTTTTCTGTTGCCAGTTTGTCTTGCACCGTCATGTCCTACCAGCGTGTTCCTGTGCTCTAATTTTAGCTTTTTCTAGGCTTCCCAGTTCTGACCTTTCTGCCTGTCCTGATCCTGCCTGCCGTCCTGTACCTGCCTGACTGATTTGGATTACGACTCTTTGCCTGCCTAGACCTACCGATTGCCTGCCCCTTGTACTGTAATAAACTCTGGGACACGTACTATCCACCTCCTGTGTCTGCATCTGGGTCTTAGCCTGAGCCGTGATAGTACCAACTGGCCATGACTGAACCAGCAGACTCGGACCAGCTCCGCAACGCCGTCTCCTCCCAAGGAGCCACCATTGGAAGACACAAGGGGTTACTACAAAGCCTTATGGAGGGACTCCATACCCTGGCAGAACGCCATGACCATGCGTTCAATGCATTGCTGGAGCAATTCCGCGGATTCCCAACTAGGCAGCAAGCCACAACAGTAACCCCCCAGACTCTCAGCAACCCCGCCATCAGCAGCGCTCCTTCCCAGCCTACCCCGTTGTCCCGAGAACCTTGCTTACCTCCTCTGGAGCGCTACGCCGTTTGCCTCAGTCTGGAGGAGTTCGTGGCGGAGGTACGAAAAGTGTTTTGATTCTCCATTGTCCGGGAGAGAGGCTGCTAGTAAGTTGCTCCAACTACGTCAAGACTCCCGTAGTGTGGCAGAATACGCGGTGGATATTCGCACGTTAGCGGCTGAGAGTGCCTGGAACCCGGAAGCCCTGTTCAACACGTTCCTTCACGGATTATCGGATGTGATTAAAGACGACTCCCTCATAACCTTGACCATCCGGATCGATGGGCGGCTCCGGACCGTAGGAGGGAGAGGGGGTCTGTTCCCTTGCTCGTCCTCAAATTCAACCTCGCCTCCGAGGAATCCCGGAAATCCCCGAAGTCATTTCAGTGAGAGTCCGGTGTCACCCGAGTTCTCCCGGAGATCACAGAGGGCTGCCGACTCGCCTCCTCCGGAGCCCATGCAACTGGGCAGGGCTAGATTGTCTCCTGCTGAGCGCTTCCACAGACTGAACACTAAGAGCTGTCTGTATTGGGGAGCTACGGGACATTTCTTATCAACCTGCCCAGTAAAAGACCAGGCTCATCAGTAGGTATGAGTACACTGGTGAGCTGTAAGGGGAGTTTCCAATCTCTCTCTACTTGTAACCCCCTCTATGCTACCCTGTTGTGGGGAGAACGGTCCAAATCCATCCGGGTGCTCATTGACTCTGGGGCCGACGAGAGAGGGTGAATGGGCAAGACAAAAGATTGAAGTGCCTTTGAACGGGGTATGGTAGTAGGTGCCAGGCGCACCAGTTTGAGTTTGTCAAGAACTGCAACGCTGCTGGGTTTTTCACGCTCAACAGATTCCCGTGTGTATCAAGAATGGTCCACAACCCTAAGGACATCCAGCCAACTTGACACAACTGTGGGAAGCATTGCAGTCAACATGGGCCAGCATCCCTGTGGAAGGCTTTCGACACCTTGTAGTTCATGCCCTGACGAATTTAGGTTGTTCTGAGGGGAAAAGGGAGGGGGGTGGTGCAACTCAATATTAGGAAGGTGTTCCTAATGTTTGGTATACTCAGTGTATATAGTGGAGGGAGAATACTGTGGATGGTTTGACCATAGAGATCCTATTAAACTGCATTTCATCTCATAGGCTCATAATACTATTATGAATGCAGTCCTGAACAGTTGTCTCAACATTTCCATTCTATCTATGTTCCAACATACCTTAGCGTCGGCCACCTTGGTGAGGCCTAGCTCAGTGATGAGGTCGTTGACCCTGGCCTCCTTCTCTTTCTGGGGCACGGAGCGGGGCAGACGCAGCGCTGCAGAGAATCGCAGGTTCTCCCTCACCGTCAGAGTCCCCATCACCACGTCGTCCTGGTGAGGTCACAGAGACAAGGGTCAAAGGTCACTGACTGGGGTGATATGGTCAAAGGAGCTTTGAAAAAAGACTGTAGCTAGACTGTTTTTCTTCTGCTGTTTGACCCTAGAGCTTTGTTGTACATATCTCCTCCGAATATGCTCTTCTTACTGTGCCATGGTCTCGTTATGGACACAATACATCATCTATTTAGGTAAAGAAATGAGGAGAAACAGGGTATGATCACAATATGTCGTGATAGGGCAGTTCCAACAGGTAGCCAATAGACTTACCTGGACAACATAGCCGGAGAGGCACTTGAAGTTGGGTGGTTGTGGTGCCCCGTCGATCAGCACCTCCCCTGAGAGACCAGAGGGGTCCTTCCTGGCTGCTAGAACGTCCAGGAACCTAACCATAACGTTAGATCAATGATCACTATGGCAACCTGTGGGACCTTTTTTTGTAACATGCAACATAATGCCTCCAAGATAAACTGGTCTCATCAACAAAATACTCACGAGGACTTTCCACTTCCAGTGGGTCCTAGAATAGCATTTAGGCCTGGTCTCATGATGCCACTGCAAGACAACAAAACACATCAGATATTTTAAGATGCACTGAAGCCTTCCACATATTTAGCATAATAAGCACACATTGTGTAACATAATTTTTTATACAAATGAGAAGTGTAGCACTGTATTCTAATGTATAGGAAAAAAATTATGAAAGAGTTACAAAAATCAAGAACAGTATAGGCCTTCAGTTCAGAGTTGCAAATCAGTAAAATGGATTTGGAAATTTGTACACACACAACTGAGTCATTCATATGCATTTCAAACTGTTGGACTAAGTTAATCAAACAAAGCTAGATGAACATAACATTGAATCAATAACAATAAAAAGGTCTGCACTCATGGAATTGTGGCTTTGAAAAGGAAATAAGTTGATTTCATCTTAACTTTGAAGTGTTTTGCTCCATAAATCACTTTCAGACTTGTGAAAAGCTGATTAAGGACCAAGAATTATAGGATAGAATTTACAACATCAAACATAATGCTGGATTTATAGCACCTTATGACATGCTTATGAGAGGTTTATAGCACCCATTCAAGTAATTTTGTCATCTACTTTCTATACTCACAATGTTACACAAATGTCTTATCAAACCATTACATACGGTAAAAGTTATCAAGCCAGTCCAGCGTGTTTATCAAGTGTCAAGGGCTTGTGATTTTGATGTGTAAATATTGTCTCACATAGCTTAGTCATACATACGGATGAATCACAAGAGTGACAGTGTGAAAAGGAGGAGGTTTGGTTCTCCAATGAATAAAAGACTCACAAATATAACCGATTCAAACAGCACAATGAATACGGCGACCCCAAAGACCTCCAACAATCGGATAAAATAATCTATAGCATTGTATAACGGTCCAAAACAAGAATCCAGGATCAAATCTTCTGATTCCACAAAGAACAGTTGCACAATTGGTATAAAAAAGCATCTGTAATATAAAAACTGAATGATAAAGGCTTGCAGGGTAGAATCACGTGACAGCATTTAATTTGGTTCCCTGGCAGCCTGCTCCACAGTGCATCAAAGAGATTATACGCAAGAAACCATGGTTAATATCATATAATTAACACTAGGGGAAACGGCCCAAAACTTGTGTGAAATTATGCATTCCTCCCTGGGAAATGTCAAGTACATTTAATGCCGTCAGAAAAAAATGACAGAATTTTCCGCTGAGCTATTGTTCATTGTGGTCTGAGCATGCTAGCCCTAATCTCAAATGGAGAGGCCTGTATGTTTTGTCAACTTGTGTTAATGATCTCTCTCCCTCTTTTTGTCTCACTTCACTTTCACGCTTTCTCTGACACACACACACATCTAAAACCTCTTCATGAGCATTAGAGAGACAGCAAACTTAATTCCTATAATTGAGTTTAGATCCATCAATAACACTCCCTTAATTCACTAGTAAAGGGGTGGGATGGTGGGCAGGAATACACTGAGGCTGTACCAAGAAAGACATAAATAACAAGCTCAACACAGAGCGAGAATGAGGTGTATCTGCCAATAAATCCACATCAAATTAGCTAACTTCATAATCACCAAATGTAATTGGGTGGTCAAAGTGTATATTGACTTCAGGTCCACTAGCATTTTGGCGTGTGTGTGTTATTGTAGCTAGTTATTGAGTATGTTTACATGCACAGTAATAATTTGATATTAAACTGATTATGGCAGTAGGCAGATTATGAAATAGTCATGTAAACACTCTGCTTATCTTAAATCGGCGTAAGGTCAAAATCAAAGTAAGCATATGGCAATTAAAACACCTGGTTTTCTGAGCAATCTTTTGAATTATTAGGACATGTAAACACCTTAATCGGCGTCCCAGCGGTGTATTTGATCTGCGCATGTGCTAGCACCAGCCGAGCGCACCTCCCTCTTTAGCGCCAGTGAAGTGAGTTTGGAACAACTGAATGTATAAGTCTTAGAAGTAGTTTTCACATACAAACTTTATATAACTCATTAATCTAATATGCTTCCAAAAAATAACATGGTCGCTGTGGTAGAACGTTTATTTTGATTGGCGATTTTCTGCATTTATCAGAGTGCCATCAGGTAGCCTGATTTCAGATGTGTCCATTTAACGAGGATTATTAGGGAAATCGTTCTTCTTGCAAAGCATTTTAATCAAACTATTATATTAGTCTGACTATCCACAATAATCACATTAATGTGTGCATGTAACCGTACTCAATGTATGTCATTTAGCAGAGGCTTTTATCCAAAGGGACTTACACTTGTGCGTGTATCCATTTTTCATATGGGTGGCCCCAGCGGGAATCAAACCCTTATCCTTGGCATTGCAAGCACCATGCTCTACCAACTGAGCCACACAGGACTGTGTGTGTAATGGTGCATGTGTGCATGCATGTGATCAAACTCACTTTAATCATCCACTAGTCAATTAGTATCACTAGAACTTGTGTGTTTGGGCATGTTTCAAGGTGGAAGCCTGTGTGTAGAATACATGCGAGTGTGTGTGCATCTTTGAAAGTGTGTGTCTGTCTGCTGTTGTCTGTGTGTACATGAGACCAAAGGATCCACCAACTCCACTCACTTGAGGTCCACCAGAATCTCCCTGCCAGTGTTCTTCCTCTTGCAGAGTGGTCCAGTCTTCAGCTTCACCTTGTACTGGATGCTGTGGAAGCTGACCGTGGAGCCCCGGGGCTGCAGCTTGTTCAGCTCCACCGTGGTGCTGCTGGTCATGACCTTGGTCCTAGGCGTCCCATTGGGTGAGGTCCTCAGTCATGGCAACGCTGATGTGATTGGCTCGATCGGTCATCATCTGCAGGGGTGAGACCTGTGGGGATTGGACAAGGGATATGTCTGAAATTGATACACTATTTCCCTCATGTAGTGCACTACTTAAATCAAATGTTATTGGTTGCGTACACATACTTTGCAGATGTTATCACAGGTGCAGTGAAATGCTATTTCTAGCTCCGACAGTAAAGTAATACCTAACAATACACACAAATCCCCAAAAAAATGTAAAGAAAGGAATTAAGAAATATCGGCCAGTAACAGTGACTGAAGTTCAGGGCGGGGTACTGGGTGGAGGCCGGCTAGTGGTGACTATTTAATAGTCTGTTGGCATGGAGATAGAAGCTTTTTCAGTCTCTCGTCCCAACTTTAATGCACCTGTGCTGTCTCCGTCTTCTAGATGGTAGCGGATGAACAGGTCGTGGCTCGGGTGTCTGAGGTCCTTGATGATCTTCTTGGCCTTCCTGTGACACCGGGTGCTGTAGATGTCCTGGAGGGCAGGCCGTCTGGAGAGCCCTGCGGTTGCGGATGGTGCAATTGCTGTACCAGGAGGTGATACAGCCCGACAGGATACTCTCAATGGTTCGTGAGGGTCTTAGGGGCCAAGCTGTTGGGTCTTAGGGGCCAAGCTGTTGGGTCTTAGGGGCCAAGCTGTTGGGTCTTACAGGCCAAGCTGTTGGGTCTTAGGAGTCTTAAGGGCTGTTGCGCCTTCTTCACCACACTGTCTGTGTGGATGGACCATTTCAGGTTGTTAGTGATGTGCACGCCGAGGAACTTGAAGCTTTTCACCCTCTCCCCTGCGGCCCCGTCGATGTGGATGGGGGCGTGCTCTCTCTGCTGTCTCCTGAAGTCAACGATCAGCTCCTTGGTTTTGTTGACGTTGAGGGAGGGGCTATTTTCCTGGCACTACTCCGCCAGGGCCCTCACCTCCTCCCTACAGGCTGTCTCATCGTTGTTGGTAAATAAGGCCTACCACTGTTGTGGCGTCTGCAAACTTGATGATTGAGAACACTTCTGATCAAAGTGGTTCTGGTCTAAAGTAGTGCACTACTGTATGGGGAATAAATAGGGTGTCATTTGATTTGAGATTTAGAGTGGATAAATAGCAGGACTTTGAATGTGTTTTATTGATGCTTTTAGGACATACTTTGGTGTATGTATCTGAGACGCTTCAAGTAAGGGAGGGATATACTGTAGAGACAAACTTCAGACAAAGTTACCGAAGCACTTTTAGGAAGAGAGTGAGGATAAACATTATCATTACGCCATACATTTAGATGTGGAGAAGTGGAAACATTGGGCACATTGTCTGCATATCTGAGCACATTTAATTAGGATCAGTCCAAATGAGTGTCATGAGAACTTTGTGGTGGTCTGGTACATAGAGAGAGAGAGAAGCGAGAGACAGAGAGAGAAGCAATAGAGAGAAGCTAGAGAGAGAGGAGACACCCCATCGCTTTCAAATGCAGTTATAAATACATTATACCACTCTAAATACCTCTGCTCTGGGATATGCTTGTTGAAGTCAAATTAAACCAATAATTGAATCTATTTAATCCAATAGGAATGTATAGGCATTGGAAAACAGTTCCTCCTCCAATGAGCAGACTTGCGTTGACAGTTAGTTAGTTGGACCACTTTCCATAGGTACATTCATTTTGGTTACTTTTTTACCACCCTCTCTTAGCATAATTGCTACAAATGTATATCATAGCCTAGGCTAGTTGAATATTATATATTTCTGTTTTACCATGAATGAAGATACCCATACACATTTATAAGCTTTTCTTACTGACTTTTCTAATAAGTGCTGTTATAACAAGAGTAAGCAAGACTTGACAGATTATGTACGAGAAATACAGACACATTTGTCCTATGATGAGGAATACTCGTAGGCCTTCTTGGTAATGTGATTTCTGAATGGTTTGAATGGGTGAACATAATTGTTCAACTGGGAATGCAATGTATGGATGACTATGTAGGTTGTTTCTGTGTGATTTTTTTTTGTAGCCTTCATTTCCTAGACGTAAAGTAAACAACAATATTGAATTGTACAAAAATGGTCAAAGAAGTCAATGTTTTCTTTTACCAAACACGCATGCATTGCACTGGAGTGATGTCATTTACAAAAACTTGAATCGGCGCCCGCTATATTTTTTATATAGAAGCAGGATGTTACAAAAGGATGCACGAGGAGGATCCCGTCACCGTTATGCATGGCATTTAGCCTACACATTTAGCAAATGTAGCCTAAAATGAAATATATCCAATCTGAAAATATCATGCAAAACGAATACATACCCTCCTGTAAACTTTGAAATTACTACGGTCCTCTCCTGTCTTATACTCCGCAAGGACAGAGACAAGCCACGCGTGTAACCAAAGATCCGCTTTGGCCAATGAATTTATACTACCGGTGCTTTATAAGAAGAGTGGATATGGACAAATCTCAATATATACTTTTCGCATCCTCTCTCCTCAGCCTCCTTCTCAAAACCCATTGGAGGAGAAGGTCAGAGAGGCGGGATCTCTGGCTTTCTCAGCCAATGGATTTTGAGAAGGAGGCGAGGGGAGAGGACGCGAAGATTATATAATTCAGATCTTCCCTATGACAGTATGGGCGCCTCCTTAACCGATTTCTCAAAGCCATGTGGTTAAATTGTGCAAAGCGTGTGCATGAATGGTTCAACAATGACATTGGCAAATAAGCATTGGCAAATAAACATTTCTTAAACATTTCTTAATTATTGCCACATTTTTCAATAGAACCCCCATCTCTTTCAATTGCCCTCACACCTATCTAGAGCACAACCCCAATGACTGGGATCATATCTAAACTGATATTTCAGGACTGTGAATAACATTTAATTTAAGTGGATTTCAATAGAAAATAAAACAAATCGAAACGACTGTATACAAATTACTATATTTTATACTGTTTGTCACACTGTGTATTCATTTTTTAAATTTTTTTTATTTCACCTTTATTTAACCAGGTAAACCAGTTGAGAACAAGTTCTCATTTACAACTGCGACCTGGCCAAGATAAAGCAAAGCAGTGCGATAAAAACAACAACACAGAGTTACATATGGGGTAAAACAAAACAAAAATCAAAAAAAATATATACAACAGAAATACAATTAATATACAGTGTGCAAATTTAGCAAGTTATGGAGGTAAGGCAATAAAATAGGCTATAGTGCAAAATAATTACAATTTAGTATTAACACTGGAATGATGTGCAAGAGATGATGTGCAAATAGAGATACTGGGGTACAGATGAGCAAAATAAATAACAATATAGGGATGAGGTAGTTGGGCGGGCTAATTTCAGATGGGCTGTGTACAGGTGCAGTGATCGGTAAGGTGCTCTGACAACTGATGCTTAAAGTTAGTGAGGGAGATAAGTGTCTCCAGCTTCAGAGATTTTTGCAATTTGTTCCAGTCATTGGCAGCAGAGAACTGGAAGGAATTGCGGCCAAAGGAGGTGTTGGCTTTGGGGATGACCAGTGAGATATACCCGCTGGAGCGCAGACTACGGGTGGGTGTTGCTATGGTGACCAATGAGCTAAGATAAGGCGGGGATTTGCCTAGCAGTGATTTATAGATGGCCTGGAGCCAGTGGGTTTGGCGACGAATATGTAGTGAGGACCAGCCAACAAGAGCGTACAGGTCACAGTGGTGGGTATTATATGGGGCTTTGGAGACAAAACGGATGGCACTGTGATAGACAACATCCAATTTGCTGAGTAGAGTGTTGGAGGCTATTTTGTAAATGACATCGCCGAAGTCGAGGATCGGTAGGATAGTCAGCTTTACGAGGGCATGTTTGGCAGCATGAGTGAAGGAGGCTTTGTTGCGAAATAGGAAACCGATTCTAGATTTAACTTTGGATTGGAGATTCTTAATGTGAGTCTGGAAGGAGAGTTTACAGTCTAACCAGACACCTAGATATTTGTAGTTGTCCACGTACTCTAGGTCAGACCCGTCTAGAGTAGTGATTCTAGTCGGGTGGGCGGGTGCAAGCAGCGTTCGGTTGAAGAGCATGCATTTTGTTTTACTTGTGTTTAAGAGCAGTTGGAGGCTACTGAAGGAGTGTTGTATGGAATTGAAGCTCGTTTGGAGGTTTGTTAACACAGTGTCCAATGAAGGGCCAGATGTATACAAAATGGTGTCGTCTGCGTAGAGGTGGATCTGAGAGTCACCAGCAGCAAGAGCGACATCATTGATATACACGGAGAAAAGAGTTGGCCCAAGAATTGAACCCTGTGGCACCCCCATAGAGACTGCCATAGGTCCAGACAACAGGCCCTCTGATTTGACACATTGAACTCTATCTGAGAAGTAGTTGGTGAACCAGGCGAGGCAGTCATTTGAGAAACCAAGGCTATTTAGTCTGCCAATAAGAATGCGGTGGTTGACAGAGTCGAAAGCCTTGGCCAGGTCAATGGGTATATAGGCATATAGACCTATTGTATTATTTCCATAGCTCATTCTAATATATCTACGCCTATTACTTTACATTGATTACATTTTGTTACACTGTTTATTATTTATACACTGGATTCTCGACATAGCTCACTGTAATAGATCTACTGCTGTCAGAGGTGGCACCACAGGTCCCAGAGTGGTGTGGCGAAAAAATCTGGGGCCCTTAGTTTCTCCTGATCTGGTAACCTAACCAGGTAAAACTCCGGACCTTATATTGTATGACGTGATTCATCTGTTGAAAAAAGGTTTAATATATGGGCTATGATGGGACAAGAGTTTTTCTAATCATGTCAAATGGTTTTTAAAAACTCCTGGAAAAACTCCTGGCCTTGGGAAGGATGAAAACCCTGTCAAACTACAGCAACCTTGTACTTGTTCAAATTAATTATACATTAATTACATTTTAAAGAAGGACTAGTGGGGTTTCCTATACAGACACAGAGAAAGCAAC